TTGTTATTATTATTATTAATAAATCCTCTGTTATCTAACTTACTACTTTTATTTGTGTAATTTGGCATAAAGAATATCATGGTTTAGCATAGATTCACTTTGGCTGGGACATAATCTTATTATCTGTACATATGTCGCATGTATTATTGATTCTGTGTGTTAACTGACAGAAAATCAAAATTTACGCCCCCAAAAAATTATACTGTCTGTTACTTTTGTTGTGATATGAGCACTCAAATGTCACATATCTCCTCTTGAAGCATATGTGTTCTGAATAGTTTTCTTTTAAAACTTTATCCACTGCTATTCTTAAGATGACCATGGTTGTTTGCATTTTTTGCAATAAAAAGTTGGATAAAATGAGATGGTTGTTGTTGGAGTGTGTTGCTATTACTGTCAGTGAGGGACAACTTGAGAAAAACATCACAGTTTCAGCAATATTAGTATTGCTCATTTTATTCATTCACAAGCGTTATAGCAACCTATTAGCTCAGCTAAATGTTGCTGAATACACACATAAATAAAAAAATACACATGTATACAATGCAAATATACATAGTGGTACAGTATATGGACTCAGCTATAAACTCTGAAATTTACTAATTACAAGTGACAACACAACAACAACAGCTAAAACATCACTGCACATTCAATGCTCTAAATTTAGTTTTTTGTGTTTTAATTGAAGTGTGAAAGAGGACAGAACACAAGTATAAATACAGAAGCGTTAAACTAAACAGAAGGGCAAAGGAAAACAGCTAAAACATTTCAAAGAAATCGGTAAGCAATTATAAACAAGTTGTTTCTTTTAAAACATTTCAGTACATTACTGCAACAAATATTAAGGCACTTAAACTTAAAAATATGCTTTCTTGCTGCCGTAAAATTGTAAGTTGACTGAAGTTGTACTGCACAAAAGATAAACCAGCAGATATCTAGTCTGGGTGTTAAATTAAATCTGATTGTTACCTAATAACTTGACAGTGTGTCATAGGTGTTATACCTTTTAGAAATTTTCAGCATAGCTAAGTTTGAAGTTATATATAATAAATATTTTCAAATCTTAATATGATCAGTTTACCAAATCTTTCAACTCATAATTTTAAGTCACAAGACATGAACTTAGGGTTGTAAGTTCTGAAGCTTAAAACTAGCAAAACAGACGAATACACCTATATACAATGAGCTGATGAGTAAAGATGAGTTGATTTCACTAAATTACACTAAGAATTTTTACAGTTTTCAGGGAAAAGGAAACAACAGAAGAGCTACTTTGCAACTAGCTTTAAAGGGACTTGTACACAAAATAACAAGGGAGAGTGAAGAACACTATTCAATAGACCAATCAGTACAGGAGGCAAAAATGATGAAATGCATGGTGTCGTGAAATAATTCTGCAAACTGGGGGATAGTCGAACAGCATAGACATGGTATCATCATGCCAAATTAATTGGCTCTACTGCACATGTGCTTGTTGGCTGGCAGGGTCCTCCTCTTGTATTTGTTTGATGCCTAGTCTCCCTTTCTTTGTGGCAACATTTGGGGAACGTCGCCATTGCACCGTGCCTGCGTCTGCTCCTCCTGTCTGGCTGCGCTGGGCAGGGAGAGTGCAGAGATGGTGGCAGTCTGTGTGTCAGGAGCCTTTTCACTGAGAGCAGCCTTTATGCTGGCGGCAACACTATCGCTGCTGCCGGCTGGAGGAGCAGGAGCGCCGCTGGGTGTGTTGGGGTCAGCTGCTGAACCGGAGGCCCCAGAATCGCCCTGCTCAGGCGCTCGAAGTCTCTTCATGAGGGTGGTCACTCTAACAGCTTTCTGTGAGTAATAAAAAGATATGAAGTTCAAATTAAGTGATGGCATACAACACGTTCCTGATCCTATACAATATTAAATAAACTCAACAATAATAACAATAATAATAATAATAATAATAATAATAATAAATAATGACTCAATAAACTCAGTTAAGTTTAGTACAACTGCAGTACAGTCCTCCTAATTGGAGACTCGGGTCATGATCATGAACATTTAGTCCAACGCATATAATAACTAATGATATATGAACAAACATGTATTGATACATAAGATATATGAGAAGTAATACCTTCCACTTGGCTTTGGCAAAGTTCTTTTCTATTTGTGCACAAACGCCATCCTTGATGTTCTTGTCTGAGGCAGCATTTCCAGAAATCCTGAGAGAAGCAACAAGAGAGTAATGTTTTCCAGCATGCAATTATATTTGTGGCACCCCTATAACAACAATTATAGCTTTGGATTTGTTGGTCTGACAATTTATGTTTGATGTTGTTTAACTTCATTTTTTACCATTCATGGGCAATGGCTTCCTGTGCAGTCAATCGCTGATCTTGGTCCACTTCCATCAAAGATGCCACCAAGTTTTTGGCTGTAAAATAAAACAATTTAAACATCAAACTGAATTCAGACTGTGTAACATATATCTATCTATAACATATGTTTTAATCAACTTATTATCTCCTACCAGAATCTGAAATGTCATCCCAATATGGTGAATCAAATTCATAGTCCCCTGACAAAATCTTTAGGAAAAGGTTCTTATCACGATCATCATCTTCATCAGCATCATCATAGAAAGGAGGGTTTCCAGACAAACTGTAGAGTTGGCAGAATAAGAGCATTATGGGACCACCTGTTTTTTTGGTAAAGTATTAAATATACATAGGAAAATACCTGTAGTATACTTGTGAGCACATTCGTTGGACACTTACAGTATATACATGATGACACCTATGGCCCAGCAGTCCACAGGACGGCCATATCTCTGCCTCCCAACCATCTCAGGAGCTGACAATAAAAAAACAGCTTTAATTAACTGATATTATTTTCTATTGTATGAATACAATCCTTTAAAATTAACAAATTAAAAGTATACAGTCTAGTTTTATATCACTTACCAAGATATTCTGGAGTCCCACATGGGTCCTTAATGAGTCCATTTTCCAGTTTTGCCAACTGGAAGTCGCTGATAACAATTTTGGAGTGCTTTAAACGATTAAAGTACACCAAGTTCTCCAGCTGTACGAGTACACAAATAAAAGTTGATCAAACTGGAAAGTATAGAGCAGTTATTCATGCACATTTACTGTAGTTTGGCCTGTGGTGAAATGCTATTATTTTTCACTAGGTGTCAGCAGTGTAATATACCTTAAGATTTCTGTGGACAATTTTCAGAGAGTGCAGGTAAGCTACAGCTTCCAACACCTGCCTCATAACATTACTGGTGTCCCTCTCAGAGTAGTATCCTTGATCTAAGATCCAGTCAAACACCTCTCTGCCTGT